TGGGCAACAGCCCTGGGTGGGGTGCAGCTCAGCAGAAAAGGTCCTGGGGTTCATGGTGGACAACAAGCTTCACATGAGTCAGCGGAGACGGCTGGCAACCCAGAAGGCCAACAGCATCCTGGCTGTCTGAAGAGGAGCATGGCCAGGAGATGAGGGGGAGGGATTCTCTCCTTCCATTCAGTGCTTGCTGGACCACATGCCCAGTACTGCACTGAGTTTGGGGCCCCCTGCCCCCAGTACAGGAAGGACATTGATCAACTGGAGCAAGCTCAGTGAAGAGGCACCAATACTGTCAAGCATGTGTAGACGTGCAGGGGGCTGGAGAGCTTCCCACCTGAGGAAAGGCTGAGGGAACACTCTCCAGTATGGAGACGAGAAGGCTTTGGGAAACCTCGTAGGAGCATTTCAGTACCTGTCAGGCAGTTAAGAAAATAGATCCAGGCTCTTCATTGTGGTGGATGGTGGGAAAAGGAGAGGCAAGGGACAAAAGTGGAAAGAACGTTCAGGCAGGAGATGAGGACCATGAGGTCATAACCATGAGGTCACTTACACACTGGAAGAGGTTATCTTGAGAGGCTCTGAAACCCAGACCCTTGGAGGTTTCCAAGCCTCCTTTCCCCCTACATATGGTCTCCCAACATTGAAAAAACGCTCTGGCTCAGGCAAGAATGAAGCAAAAGCCTATGGCACCAGCACAAGCTCTTCCTCCCCTGGGCTTCTCTTCCCTGTGAGAGGGGTCTGCCACTAACCCCACACTTCTTTCACCCTCAGCTTTTGCAGCTGAATGTGCCTGGCCTTCTCACTTGACTTTGCAACCATTACCTTTGTTTTCAAGGCCCAACACATATCTTGTCACGCCCACTGTAAGCTGGCACCCACCCCGCACCTGGAGCTCACCTGGCCACAGGGGCAGGGAGAGGCCAGGCCCGCTCTGCTTGCACTGGGCACAGCTTTTCCTGGGAACGTCCCCAAGGAGCTCTCCTCACGTGTGTCAGGCTGTGGCCTGGCCCAGGTGGCACAGGGACAAGGGCTGCTGGAGCAGGGCTGAAATAGCTCAGCTGGGAGAGCATTAGACTGAAGATCTAAAGGTTCCTGGTTCAACCCCAGGTTTCAGCAATGTTTTTCTCCCTTAGGGTCTTGCAGAGCCCGTCTGCCTTTGTCCATCCTGCCCTGGCCCTCCTTGCTCCTTCCCCTCTTGCCAGAGCACTGCCCGTGCGCTGTAGCTGCACATCTACAGGTTAGAAGGATCCTTCCTCTTGCGCCACAAGCCCCCAGCCTTCCCCTGGGCAGGACTCTCCACTCAGTGTGTCTTTGGGGTGTTCTCCAGCTGGGTCTCCTTCCCTGCTCCACAGGGATCGGGATCTCTCCACTCAGGGGTCTCTGCAAAGACTCTGTCTCTCTCCTCATGGTCATTCTCACTGGTGCACAGACTGCTCCCCTCCTCACACACATCCTTCACCTCAACCTCAGTTCCCAGACCAGGGCACACTGCCCACAGGGAGGCCACCATCTCCCCAGTCCCAGGGAGAGGCACTCCTTGCAGCTGAGCAGCACAATTGTCCCATGTTTACCACCATGAAGACACCACCCCTGTGTGTGGTCAGGCTCTCAGCCTTGGAATTAACAGCTGCCCGTGCTCAGCCACCCTGCCACAGAGACCCCAGCCAGGGCTGTCCCAGGGCACTGCTTTGCTGTCAGGACAGGCCTCAGCGCTGGAGGAGTGGGGAGGTCCCTGAGCCCACCCACACCCGCAGCCCCAGGGAGATGGAAGCCTGCTGTCCACCTCACCTCCTGGGATGCTGGTGGGAGGAGTGGTGCAGGGCAAGCCCCAGTGACTGGAGGAGGGGTTATAGGATTTCTGCCCCTGTGTGCCCCCACCACACACCCGGGGTGCCATCAGAGCCTGGGGGAACCTCACCCCAGAGAGGGAATTTCCCTCACCCTGTTGCACTGCTCCTGCTGTGGAGTTGGGGACAGACGTGGCAGAGAGGGGTGTTGTCCTGGGGGGCAGAGGAGGCTTAGGGGTATTCTCTTCTCCATCGACCTAGCTCAAAATGGGCCAGAGCATGGGAGAAGTGCCTGCAGCAAGAGCCTCCTCCTGCCCCATTTCCCTGCAGAGTCGGTAAAGGGGCAGCACTCTGCAGTGCAGCCCTAGGGCTGGATCAGGCCCCAGTGGAGAGCCAGTCCTGACTTCCCCTATCTCAGGAGGCTTCAGGTTCTGTTTTCTGCAGAGGGTCCCAGGGTACCTGGGGACAACGGCACTGTGATTGGCACAGACACATCATGGGAGGAGAGTGTCTCTCCTGCTGGCAGGTTTCAAGGGACTGTAGCTCAGTGGCTGAGCAGCTCCTTTGCATGGGGGAGTTCCTGGGTTCCATCCCCAGCACCTCCAGGGGTGCTGTTGCCCTGACTCCCCAGCCAGAGGCAGGTGTGGGCTGGAGTTCAGGCTCTGGTCATCTCCAGGCCCTGTGGGTCTGTCCTGCCCAGCCAGGGCTTGGCTTTGAGGGCAGGAGGGCGGTGGCATGGCTGGGTGTGCTGCCTCGGCTGAGCACCGTCCTGGAGGAGAAGCGGCAGCTGTGCTGGACCTGAGCTCATGTCACTGCCCGGCACCACAGAGCCACCCCACCCGCCGCCCAGGGACAGCGCTGGGCAGCAGAGTGTGCTTCCCTGTGGGGAGCCCTCAGGGAGGGCACAGAAGTCGGCAGCACGCTCGGAATCCTTTCTGGCTGCACTGAGGGATGTGCTGTGAGAGTGCTGGTCCAGCCCAGGTGTCCTTTGGGACCAGGGCCACACTGCCCTGGTGGCTTGCCAGGGGCAAGGCTCTGAGATTGTCCTTTCTCCAGGGGGAGATCCCAAACCACATGAGAAGCATTCCTTTGTGCCAGCAGGTAGGGGTGTCTGAGCTGGATGAGCCTGGGCAGGGCTGTGGGACTCCCAGCCGGAGGAATGACATTTCCTACCCTGACCCTGTCTCCAGGTGTTTCTCCTTCCACCGGCACCACTGGCTGGAGCAGAGCCCCAGTTCAGGGAACGTGGAGCTGCTGAGGTCAGGCACAGCTCGGCAGAGGTGCGACTCGTGGGGCCGGTGCCCACCTCTTATTCATGGGGTGTCTGGTGTCTCCGCACCCTGTGCTGGTGGGATCGGGGAGGCACAAGCCTGTCCACAGACATGCCCAGGCAGCGAGAGCCAGGACATGGTGCCTTGGCTGCTCCCCCAGCAAAACCACTGGCAACCAAAACGGGGTGAGAGACACGGACTTTCACTGCAGGGTGCCCAGCCCTTGGCAACAGGGAGCCCAAACTCAGAGAAATAAGGCTGCTCTCCCATGGGCTTTCCACAGCCAAGCTCTGCCCAGTGTGGGGCAGCAGTGCTGAGGGTTGGGGTCTCACTGCGACCCCCCTCAGGTAGATCCTCAGGAGCTGCAGGAGCAGCCACAGATCTGGGGCACAGTGGCAATCCTGCTTTGCTGCAGAGAAGGGACCCAGCTGGCAGAGCCAGACTGTTAAGTCCCAAAATGCATGAAACAGGTTCTTTCTGCTCAGGGGTGCTGCCCCCTCAAGCTCACCCACGCCTGGGGCTTATTTCCTCAAGGAGGAAGAGGCAAACCTCTACCAGATGCCAGATTATGGGAGAAATATTACACCTATGGGAGGGCAGAGCTGGTGGGGCAGTCACACTGAACAGGCACTGGGCTCTTTTCCCCAGTTCCCACTTGGGGCACCTTGAGTGTGCAGATCAGTGTCCATACTGCCCAGAGGCCCCCACCATCCCATGTTCAGAAAATAACACTCCCCTTTTCATCTTTACTTCACTTTTATAAACTTATTTCTCTGAGATGCAGGGCTGGAGCTTATCCCAGTGAGAGTTCTCCAGGCTGTGTTTTTAATGCCCATGGATGTCACGCATCACTGTGGGGGTCTTGCCCTGGGAACACTGCTCTCCCATGAGGGCTGCCAGCAGGAAGGCTCTCAGGTGTGGGGCAGAGGGATGTGTGAACTCGGCTCCCCCCAGGTGCCCCCAGGGTCAGCCCAGGGGTGGAGGAGCTCCCAGCAGGGAATGGGGCAACACTGCTATAGGAGAGGATGTTGGCAACATCTGCCTCCTCTCCACTCTGCTCCAGGGCCAGATCCTGCTGTTTGCAGCACTATGGAGCTGCAGCTACTCCCCCCAGGCAATCCTGCCACAGACACCCAACGCACCTTCCAGCCTGCAGCAGAGAAGCCCATTGGGGAAGAGCCGGTGGAGTGCGGAGACCCACCAGCGGGAGCAGGGAGGGCAGTTGGGCAGTTTGGGCGCCAGGTCCTGCCCAGGTGCCAAACTCTTCTCCCAGCCTGGCTTCTGCACAAGGTTTCTGTGCCGTGGGTGCTGGGGCAGGTGAAACCCCAGCTGAGGGAGAAGGACCCTGGCTCAGCTCCCAGCAGCACCAGTTTTAGTGGAGGGACACAAAATCTCCACTGCCATGGAAAAGTGCCCACATGAGCATCCTCCCGGATGGGCCCTTCTCCAGGCCAGGGGCTGGAGCACAGCTTTTGGCTGCTGCACGCGTCTTGTGGGGAAGCTTTCTCCATCCCCCTGGCCCTCTAACAGCGCTGAGGGAACAGTGCCCTCATCCTCGGTGCTCCCAGCCCTCCTGTACCTGCCCACAAGTACTGCCCCTCACACAACCCAAACTGACATCCCTGGCAAGGCAGCAGGGGGGCAGGGGTGGGAGCTGGAGGGGAGCAGGAGGAGGGTTTCCCAGGGCTGCCCCGGGTCTGCAAGGCAGGAGGAACAGCCCATGGAGACTGGGGTCCTGGCAGAGCATGAGGAGAGAGAATCCCAGACACGTGTTTCCCAGGAGGTGGCTCTGCACCCTGTGCCAGGGCAGTGGGGAGCAGAGCTGCCTCCCAAGCATTGTGGGAGGTAATCCACGGGCCATGATCCCACCTGGGGCTGGCTGGGTTTTTCAGGGACCTGCGGTCACCTTAGGGCTCGCTTCTGTGAGACAAAAGCCCAGGGCTCACCCTGACATGGCAGCTCTGTTGTGGCCTCTGCACTGTGGGATCAGCGTGGCCCAGGCAGGGCCTGGGGGAAAGAGCAGCTGGAACCCTTGGGGGAGGAAAAGGGTGCTCCTACTGGGGTGCATCATGGGACCTATCAGAGAGCCATTTTTTCTAGAAACTGTCTTTGGGCAGCAGGATGGAGATGTCTCTGTCACCAAGATTATTCCCCAGGGACCATGGCCTCACGGAGCCCCAGGCTGACACCGAGCCTGCTGTCCCTGAGACGTGCCCCTTCCCGACCACTGTGTCTCTGTTCTCTGCTCTCCCTGAGCAGCCTCAGGGAGATGCCCTGACACCTGGCAGGGAAGCACCAGCTCTGGGTCAAAGCCCCCAGAGGCTTTTAATAAACAAATATAAGAATGCACAGCATAAAAATGGGAATAAAAATGGAGGAAACTCCAGGCTGTTTCTGCTGCCCATGGCTCAAGAGAGACAGTCCCCTGGTGCTTGCGGCTCTCCCAGCTGCACAGACCTCTCCTCCCTCCCGGCTGCACCCAGCTGTGCAGCAGGGATGGGCTCTCCTGGCCTGGGGCTCAGGGACTGCTGTGCACCAAGCTCCGGTGTCACAGCCTTTGCGTCCTCACAGGGAAGTGCCACAGGCACCTCTTCAGCATCATCATAGCCCATGCTCCCCGGGGACGGGGACGAGGTGTCTCCTTCAGCTCCAGGGACGTCGGCACTTCTCCAGGAGCGCAGGCTGCCCCCTGCAAGCAGCAAGGTCGGACGTTTCAGTTCACTCCATGGGATCTGTACACCACCACCCTCCCTGCTCCTCACCACATTCAGCTCCTTCTCCCACCCCCGGGCCTTTCAAGGAAAACTCCCATGCCAGGTTTCCTCTTCCCTGCAGGTTTGGGTGTCAGTAGGGTAGTGACTTGAGGGGCACCAGGGATGGCACCCTAGGAACAGGCAGCGCTCTCTTTCCCTCTCACCTCCAGGTGCAGCCCTGGGCCCTGCTCCCTCCTCTGGCATCCTGGGCATTTCCCACTCTCCCTGCCCAGGCACAGCATCCTCCCCCGCATCAGGAACCTCCCTGGCATCATCGTAGCCATCTGCTGGGTCACCTCCGGGCAGGACAAGGACATCTGAAAGGAGAGGGGAGTTGGTGACAGTGAGAAGATCCGTCCTGCAGAGCAGAGGATGAGAGGATGTGCAGGGACACAAAGCGCAGACACTGGGCTTGGCAGAACCACAAGTGATGCCCATGTCCTCCCCTTCTCCGATGGTGACACTCAGGGACACCTCTGTCCACCCCATGTCTGCAGGGAGATCAACCCCTTCCTGCCTCCATTACCTGGTGCTGATCCCAGACCTTTCTCCTCCTCACTGACCCCAGGGTGGGGCTGCAGCTGGGTCAGGGACTCCTCTGAATAGGAGCCTGGAGAGATGCACAGCAGGTGTTATGGAGCAAGCCCCACTGACGTGGTTCACGGTCAGCGCTGCTGGGGAAGGGGGACCCACAGAGCTGGGGCTGTGTGGGGAGGAGGGCTGGGAATTCACCCTGCTCCCCCGGGACAAACCCTGTCTCAAAGGAGCTTCCAGAGCTGGCCCAGGACAGCCCCTTCCCTCGCTCCTCGGGTGTCTCATGGGGTGCAGGGGCAGGAAGAGAGGGGCTGTCCAGCTGGGACAGTCAAAGCTGACTGGGAGAAAGCTTCTCTCCTGGTCCCAGGACCTGGATGCTCTCCCCACAGCCCCCACAGCCCCAGCACCACAGGGACCACAGGCTGGGGGGCTTCAGAGGGTCAGCTCCTGGTTGGGGCCAAAGGAAAGGGTCCTGCGGATGTGCCTCCAGGGAAGACCCACACCCACCTGAGCGATCAAACCTGGCCCGTTTCTCCCACGCTGGGCTGTACCCAATCTCCTCGTACACAGCCTCGGGGAAGGGCTCCTGGGCTCTTCTGGAGCCTGTGGACAGAGAGGGCTGGCACAGGGACAGGCAGAGGGGCAAAGGGACCCCACTGTGCTCCCCCAAAACGGTTCCATGTGCCACCTCAGGACTGGTCCAACAGCACGGCCCCACTGCACTGTCCAGGCACAGCTGCCACATCCCCAGTGAGGGCAGCATTGGTGTGAAGATTATCTGGGGCAGCATCACCCTCACATCATCCCTTTGGAGACAGTGCTCATGCCCCTCTGGCCTGTGCGCCATGTCCCCCTTGTCTCACCCCGGATATGTTCCCACATTTCCTCTCCACCTGGAGCTTGCCCCTACCTGCCCCTGTCCCACCAGGGGGTGGGCAGGGCTGGGCAGGGGGACAGCCTGGGGGCCTGACACCACGGTGATGGACCCTGCTGCCCCACACTCCTCCTAGCATCTCTCTTGCCCCAGAGCCCCCTCCAGCACTACCGAGAGCACTGCCAGCCTTGGCCATCCCCTCTCTGCCATTTCTCTCCTCACACCATGGCTAACTGCCCCCACCTCGGGGCTCTCTCCACCCCTTGCTGCTGGTGCCCCACAGCCAGGCACTCAACGGGGAAGCACGAGGCAGGTAGCAGCACACAGTCTCACCCTCCCGCTCTGCCTGTGCCCCTTGCTGACACCCCCACAGCACCCTACAGCCCTACCAGGAGGTATCTCCCCCCGGCACCTCTGGGCAAGGACTCACCTCTGCGCCCAGCCCCGGCGCTCAGCACTTGCCCAGCCAGGAGGGCCAGGAGCAGGCAGACAAGGGTCCCCAGGATGATGCACATGATGACGGGCACTGAGACTCTCCCGCTGCTGCTCTGATGGCCTCGGGTGGGATCTGCATGGGAGACAACTTCGAAGGGGCAGCACCCCAGGGGTGAGTGACAGGAAAGCTTCCACCATCCTGGGTAAATTATAGCTCTCCCCAACCCCCTGCCACCACTCCAGTATCTCCTCCAGGCAGTTTCACACCCCAGCTAGGAGCCCCTTCCATCCAGCTGTGGGTCACAGCCTGGCCCCGGGGGTACCCAGACTCCGGGGAGGACAAGTTACCTGCTCGGGGTGGGGGTGTTGTCGTCCTGGGTGTAGCTGCAGAGGAGGAAAAGGAGAGCTGGGCTGAGACACTGGGTGTGTGGGTATCAGGAAACCTCCTCCCCAACACACCGTGTTGTGTGTGTGTGTGTGTGTGTCTCTAGATGTCCCTGACACATCCCACCCAAATTGCCCCTCCTGTAGTGCCAGAAAGGGAGGCCGGGACAGAGCCCAGCACCTCTGCTCTGGGAGGCAGGCAGGATGGCAGAGGCAGCCCAGGGGATAGTCCTGGGGCTGCAGGGCCCCACGGGCAGTGGCCAGAGCACGGCCAGTTACACCGAGGCTGCTCCCTGCCTGGCACCGGGCTCCTGCACTCCACAGGAATGTTCTTTCTCTCGGAAGGTCGGGGTCCATGCCCGGACCGCGTGGACAAAAGGCCTTCCCTAGTTCCCTGCTAATACCCGAGCAAAGGCTCCCAGCCCTGCCACTAACCTGAGCAGCGCACAGCAGCATCTTCCTTGTGCCGGCAAGCCCCGCTGTCCCCGGGCCGGGCCCAGCAGTCCTGCAGGGATGGCTCCGTCCCCTGGCACTCCACCTGCTCCAGCCAGATGGGGCCCGTCCCCATCCCAAATGCAGCCTCATGCAGGGCAGACACCGCGGGGCCACAGCCCAGCTGCCTGCACGCCACCTCGGCATCCTGCATGTCCCACGAGTCGTCGCACACCGTCCCCCAGGAGCCACGGTGCCAGACCTCCACTCTGCCCGAGCACTCGTCCTTGCCTCCCACGGCACGAATCTTCTCCCTGGCTGGAGAAGAGTAAGACCTCCCATGGCACCGGGAGAGCAGGCAGAGCCCTGCCAGACACAGAGGGGAGCTCCCTACCTGTGCAGCTCGTGGAGTTGGGGCACGGTGCCAGCGAGGTTGGAGGCATTTCTGGCTGTCCCCCTGAAGAAGGAAACACTGTGGTGAAGGGGCTGGTTTGGGGGATCATGCAGAAGAGAGTGGGGCTGAGCTCTGCTCGGGCCTCCCTGCACCATCTGGGGCAGCAACTGAAACCCTGTCATCCATGGGACACATGCAGGACTGTGGGGGGACCCTGATTGCTCAGCCCCAGAAGGTCCCTGGCTCACAGAGCAGCAGTAGCTTGTCTGTGGAGGGGAGGCTCTTCTGAAAACCATCTGGTCTCTTCTGAGACCTCACCTGGAGATGCCTCTGCTTCCCAGGCACTGCTGGCAACCTGGGTGGCAACTGCTGCTGGATGTGTGTGGCCGCGGTCACGTTTGTGCCACTGGCAGCACAAGGGTCTGGCATGGAAAGTAAAAGCCTCTCCAAGCTCTTTCTCTGTGTTTGGCCATGCCCTGTGGGGAGCAGGAGCTGGGGTGACACTGGTGCCTGGGTGCCTCAGAGTTACCATTGCAGGTGATGTGGATCTCCTCTTCCAGGTATTCACATGACTGTGGGTTCCAGGGTGTGGAGGGACACTGCCAGAAAGAGCTGTTTGTCTCCCCACACCGCACGTGATCCAGCCAGGCAGGGCCAGACACCCTGCCAGAGGGCAGGCGTGTTTCGAGGGATCCTCTGTCCCCGCAGCCCAGCTCCTTGCACGCCAGTGTCACCGTGTTGTCAGTGATGGAGTTAGAGCAAATGCTCCCCCATGTCCCGTTGTAGAAAACCTGCAGGCGCCCGGAGCAGCCGTCGCTGTTCTCCAGCCTCAGGGCCACGAACTCTGGGAAGAAAAGGCCCCAAAGCGGGAACAGGCTGATCTGGGGCTGTGGGAGCCAGGACACCTCTACACCCCCAGGCCTCAGCCGGCAGGGGCAAGGCCACCACATCCCCCTTGCACCCAGGGGCAGAGAGAAGTCCCGGATTTACAGCCAGCCCTGCCCTTCCCGAACCCTCGGGACAGCTGAGCTCCCCAGGGACCCCCCGTGGGACTGAGGGTGTCCGTGCATGGGTGGGCCTTGGGCAGGAGCTCAGAGGCAGCCAGGGGCAGCCTTGGCCATGGCCGGCTCTCCCCGCGTCCTGCCCTCCCCGGACCAGGCTCCCACCACAGCTCCTGAGGTGGCACAGACCTGAGCAGATGACTCCCGCATCCTCTTTGTGCCCGCAGTCGTGCTGCCCCCAGGGCCCAGCCGGGCAGTCCCAGAGAGCAGCTTCGGCCCCGGAGCAGTTCACACCATCCAGCCAGATCTGCCCGGAGCCTTCCCCGAAGCGAGCGGAGCCGGCTACCTCCACTGCCTCTCTCGCAGCCCAGCTGGTGGCAAACGACGGCGGCATCAGACAGGTCCCAGCCGTCGTCGCAGACAGTCCCCCAGATGCCCTGGGAGTAGATCTCCACTCTCCCTGCACAGCGCCCGGCCCCGTTCACCAGCCGGACCCGCCGGCTCCCTGCAGCGGGTGGAAACCCCAGTCGCTGTCAGGGCCTGCCTGCCTGCGCAGACCGTCACCTGGGCCTGGGCAGTGCCACTCACCCCAGCAAATGACTCCCACGTCCTCCGCAAGCCCTGCTGCCAGCGCACTGCTGGGCAGGGAGGTGTTGCAGAGGGTCAGCTTGGCCTCGTGCCCTGCACACCGGACCCCTCGCAGCCCCACGGGGCCCGTCCCTCGCTCAGGCTTTGGGGGGTTGTAGGCTGTCCCTGCCTCTCCGCACCGCAGCTGCCGGCACACCACGCTGGCCTCCTGCACGTCCCACTGCTCATCCAGGACTCTGCCCCACGCCCCATCCTGGAAGATCTCCACTCGTCCGTCGCACCGGCTCCCTCCGCCCACCAGCCGCAGGGATCCAAAGCCGGCTGGGCCTGGGGACAGCAGAGATGCCACGCCATCAGCGGCACCGGGAGCATGGCACCCTGCAGGGAGCAGGGCGAGGGGGATTTTCAACCAAACGGGACAAGGTGGAGCCTTGTGCTGACGAGAAACAAGGGCAAAGCCTGGGCCCTCCCTGCAGCTCACAGCCAGGTCAGCTGCTGCTGGGGGCACCAGCTCCTGCCTGGGTGGGGGGATGAGGCTCTGCAGGGCTCTCTGTGGGACGGGATGCGGCGGCTGCAGCCAGAGGGATGGAGCAGAGCCCTGCAGCCCTGTCCTGGGCTCGCTGCACAGTACGAGGACAGAGGAGCCCGGGCCTGGCGGTGGTGCTGGGGCCTAAGCCACTGCCCTGGGGGCAGATGCCTGCCTCCGTTCAGTCCTCAGCTCTCCCAAAGTCGAGCGGTCAGTCTGAGCAGGGAAAGCCCTCCAGACGGTTCCTGGGGAAGCCAGGGTTTCCCCAAGGAGAAATTCAGCCTGATACAGCCATGGAACCCCTACTTTTAGTGGTATGTTGCACACAAGTGACAAATGGAGTCATGCAGCATTTTTCCAGCACTCACCTGAGCAAATGACAGCAGCAGCGTTCCCTTGGGAGCACGGCGAGGCCCCCAGGGTGGTCACTGGGCACTGTTGCAGGAGGGCTTCAGTCCCGTCACAGTGGAATGAGTCTCTCCAGACAGGGCCAGTCTCTCTCCCAAAATGTTCTCCTCCAGGAATGGATTCAGCAAACCCGCAGTTGAGTTGCTGACAGAGAACGTGGGCATCCGAGAGATCCCAGCGGGAGGCACAGAGGGTCCCCCAGGTCCCCAGCACCTGGACCTCCACCCTCCCCGCACACACTGTGCTGCCATTCACCAGTCTGATCCCTGTGTACTCTGGGGACAGAGGCGAGAAAAGAGAGTGGATTGTGCTCTGTACCCTCAGTAGCTGGTGGAGAGGCCAGAGGGACAATGCTTTGTTTTCCTTCTGCAGTATTGTCATGCTGCAAACAAACCCATCAACCCTCCTGTCCTCACACCGGCCCAGCACGGTCCCTGCTCTGTTCCCCAACCCCTACCACAGCCCCGGTGTTCAACAGCCCACCCTGAGTCCTTACCTGTGCAGTTCACAACAGCGCTGTTTGCGTGGGTGCAGGGCTGTCCCGGGGGGACCCCGGGGCAGGAGGAGGAGGGATTCATTCCCCACACACCGCAGCTCTCCATCCCACATGGGACCCACCCCTTCTCCAACGTGACTTCCTCCAGTGACAGGCAGGGCTGCGCCGCACTGCAACTCCCTGCAGAGCACGTCAGCAGCCTTGGGACCAAAGTGGGAATCACAGACACTTTTCCACAGGTCCCCGTCACGGATCTCCACGCGTCCTGAGCAGCGGTTCTTCCCTTCCACAGACGGACAAATCCTGGAAATAAATCAACTGGGAGTTCCCAGAGCTGTGGCATTCCCATGCCCACATCCCACACCACCTCCATGCAAGCTGTGACCAAAATCACTCACTGCACATTAGAAGCTATTTAAGGGTGATGGTGTCACAAAGCATCCATATCAAGTTACACACCTTCTCTCCACCATCACAGCACTCAGGGGTGTGTCTATTGCAGCCCACAGCAGACTCTGCAAACCACGTTGGCACCGTTGGGACCAAAGTGTGAGTACACACCGCTGTCCAAAGGGCCTCCTCATGGATCACTATACGTCCTCAGAGGACCTGTGCCCTTAGAGCAGCCGGACAGATTCTGGACCAACCAATGACCCTGAGAGTTCCACAGCCCTCTGGCAATACCCTGACTACATGCCAGCTGATCTCCAAGGTGGCCACAGGCAAAAAGCCCTACGACATCCCAGCTGCTCTCAGGGGGTGCTGGTGGTACAAACACATCACGCCCCCCTGCTGCTCCTCAGAAATCAGCACAGCACTTGGGGATTTGTTTCTCTTCCAACATCCACAGCCACAGGAGTCTCTCCAACAAACTGCTGCTGCTGCAGAGACCTTGGGCTGCCCAGTACTGGTCCCTGGGCACTGCAGCCCCCATAGCACTCGGGGTTTGGGGAAATGGGGCCAGGTGCGTTTGGCTGCTGCAGCTTGCTCTGCCCCACTGAGCTCAGCGCCAGGCGTGAGGAGCCCCTTGGTGCCATGAGAAGTGCACCCATGCCCACAGAGATCTTGGGCTGTTGGGGTGAGGCTGGTGGATGGGACATGTCACAGGACTAAGGGACTGTGAGGATGTACCCGTGGTCAGTGGCTGGGCCACCACCTGCTCAGGAGCCTACCCAGTACAGAGGTTCTCGCCATGGCCAGAGTGCGCTGCTGGGCATGCATGGCCCTGCCCAGTGGCTGGGCAGAAGGCAGGAGAGTGGACAGAAGAGCAGCCCTGGGCTTACACGTGCTCCTGGTTCAAGGGTGGGCACAGAGGAGAGCCAGTAATTGCTGGCAAATCCCCTGTGGCACAGAGCAGCCAGGGGCTGGGGCAGGCAGAGAGGCTGGGTGGCAGCACTGCCTGCACGGTGCCATGTCCCCATGAGCAGGCTCTCATGGGGTGACCCTGGGAGAGGAACAAGGTGCCACGTGCCACCATGCTCTTCTAGCCAAGCCCAGTGCTCTTCCTCTCCAAGCAATCCCTTTGCTTCAGCCAAGAGACTCATGTCTGCCGCAGGGATAACCCAAAAGTAGCTCCCCATCTCACACCCTTCCCCAGGATGGTCGGTGGCCACAGGAGTCACTTCTGGTGCCTCTGGCATGGGGGCAGCTGGCCCGCAGCACCGCCAGACAGCTCCTGGGTGAACAGGAGGAGAAAGATGGCAATCAACAGACCGTGCAGGGCAGGGATGGAGGGTTCATCTGTGCCAGCTCAGGGACCAGGCACAGTAAGGCACCCTTGGGCAGGTTCCCACTGGCTTTCCCCAGGCACTGGGGACACCAGTAATGACAGTCCCAGCTCAGCAGTGTGACTGGCCACACTGGGCAATGCTCTGGTGCCTGACTTTTGCTCCTTGAGGGCGCAGCAACGTTCCTTCCACAATCTGAGCCCCAGAGGTATGGAAGGTTGTCCTTACCTGAACACACCACTCCAGCATCATAAGCATGACCACAGTCATGTTCACCCCATCCTCCGTGTGTGCAGTCAGACAGGGCAGATTCGGTGCCATTACAGCCAACATCATCCATCCAAATGGGGCCAGATCCTGCCCAAAGTGTCCGTACTGAGGAGCTCAACAGCAGACCCACAGTCCAGCTGTTTACAAACCACTGCTGCATCCTTCATGCTCCAGTAGTGACCACACACGTCCCCCACTTGCCGTGTTGTTTCACCTCCACTCTCCCAGCACAGCGCCTGCCGCCGTCCGCCAGCCTCACCTCCACAGCACCTTCAAACACTGACACAGGACCAGTCAGGACAGCGCTCAGCCCCAGCACCACGGGTCTGGGGAAGCCCTGTGCAGGTGGAGTCCGAGGCACCAGGGTGGGAGCCCACTCCCATCCAGGCTGTCCCCAGGGCAGTTCAGGGATCCCTTCTATCCTCATGGGCTGTGCAAGGCTAGGGGTGCCCAGCTCTGCCCTGCTGGGTCATTTGTGGCACCACACACTTTGGCACTTCCTTCACACAACCCCTCGCCCTATCCTGCTCACCCAGGGCTGCTGCTCCTCCCCAGACAGCACCCTGAAAAGGGACCTGTCCCCACCAGGGATCCCCCAGGCTCACATGGCTACTCCTCCCCAGAGCCCCCAGCTCCCCTAGACCACAGCCTGCCCTGGGCCCTCCCAACTCACCCTCTCCCTCAGGACTTTACGTGTCCCCTGTGGAGCAATGATCGTCCCAGTGAGGCCTCCCAACCATGCTCCCTCCTTGTCCTTGGGCATCAGCCCAGACCTGACCTTGTCTGGGATCCCCCCAGGAAGGTCACCCCTTTGCGAGCCTCTGGGAACAGATACCCCAGTTCCCTTGTCTCCACAAGCACAACCCACCCCCGGTCAGCCTGGGATCACCTGACTCCGGGACAAGAGTGAAGAGCCCACACCCCTTCCTGGGTACCCCAGGCTGGCTGTGCCTCTGGGATGACAGAACAAAGAGCCACCAGTTAAGGCACCACCAGCTCACAGGGAACAGAGCTGGCAGAGCCAGGGCCCCAGGGACGGTGCCCAAGGATGGCAAATCCACACCCGGGTACCAACGGCCAGAAACGTGGGAGCCCTGGAAGCAGAAAAGCCCTTCTGCCACGCAGAGAAGCACAGGCTCAGTGAACCTGTTCACTTTCTACCTTGTCACATCGACACATGGGAAGAGCCCCGTTTCCAGAGGGATCCCTGTGCTGCTCCTTGGCCCCAGGGCTTTGTGGCAGGGCAGCAGGCATTTCCCCCTGCACAACTGCACCCAGAGGAGCAGCTACAGTAACTAAGGGGACAGAGGGACTCTGTCCCATCCTGAACCTTTCGGCAGCCGTGCACCAAATGCAGGAGGACAGAACAGAAGCGAGACATTGGCTTCTGCATCTTTTCCTGCATAACTGCAGACTGCAGGAGACAACATCACCCCTCCTGTTCTCAGGCCAAGGCCAGCACAGTCCCTGCCCTCCTCCCCTGCCCCCGGCACAGCCCGGTGTTCAACAGCCCACCCTGAGTCCTTACCTGTGCAGTTCACAGCAGCGCTGTTTGCGTGGGTGCAGGGCTGGTCCCGAGGGGACCCCCTGGGGCAGGAGGAGGAGGGATTCATTCCCCACACACCGCAGCTCTCCATCCCACATGGGACCCACCCCTTCGCCAACGTGACTTCCTCCAGCGACAGGCAGGGCTGCGCCGCACTGCAACTCCCTGCAGAGCACGTCAGCAGCCTTGGGACCAAAGTGGGAATCACAGACACTTTTCCACAGGTCCCCATCACGGATCTCCATGCGTCCTGAGCAGCGGTTCTTCCCTTCCACTAGCCGGAAAAATTCTAGAAAAAAATCTAATCAACTGGGAGTTCCCAGAGCCTTGTGGCATTCCCATGCCACATCCCACACAACCTCTAAGCAAGCTGTCACCAAATCACCCATTGCATATCCCAGTGATAGCTTTAAGTTTCCATGTAATATTTGCTTGAAAGGACAGATTGCGTAGAAGGTAGGTCCTTGAAACAAGCTGTTATTTTTAACAATAGTCCTATGAAGGTAGCAGTTGCTTTATTGCATAACCTTTGAAGATAGTGGGTGCTTAATTGGATAGTCTTGCACGTAGCTACTGACCATCCAAGGTCGGCTTAGATTAAGTAGTATACATGCTGAATGCCCAAAGATAATAACAAGAAGAAGAGTTGCAAAAAGACCAGAATGGACTGATTTTGTCATGTGTGAACTTAATGAAAACAACGATGAGTATCAAGATAGACAATTTTAAGAAAAGGAGAAGGTAAAGAAGATGAGCAAGGTGGAAGTAATGGCCACTGACATACTGAAACGACCACCAGGATGCACAACCACGCATGTGTAAAGGGCATTATAGTATTAAAAGGAGTACCAGGGAAGGCTTGTATTTATGTATATACTCGCCATAAAGCTAATGAATATGTATGACTTTTTCCTATATTGACAGGATACAAACAAGTTCAGGGAGTCAGTGCTAGGTGGAATTAAGCCTCACTGGCCTGGCATGAGTGAAGGAATGCTTCCTTCAGAAACCGTAAACCTTGGTCTCTGAGAGTTTCCTTACAGACTGACTTTTGCATTAATGAAAGAGGAAGCTGTTGGGGGAGTGTTAATGTCAAAAAAGCATCCAGGCTAAGTTACACACCTTCCCTACACCATCAGAGCACTCAGGGGGGTGTGTCTATTGCAGACCCACAGCAGACTCTGCAAACCACGTTGGCACCTTGGGACCAAAGTGTGAGTCACACACCGCTGTCCAAAGGGCCTCATCATGGATCACTATACGTCCTCAGGAGGACCGTGCCCTTAGAGCAGCCGGACAGATTCTGGACCAACCAATGACCCTGAGAGTTCCCACAGCCCTCTGGCAATACCCTGACTACATGCCAGCTGATCTCCAAGGTGGCCACAGGCAAAAAACCCTACGAGGTCCCCAGCTGCTCTCAGGGGGTGCTGGTGGCACAAACACATCAGCCAATGGTCCTGTGTCTGCTAAGGGGGACAACCGAAAAGTAGCTCCCCATCTCACGCCCTTCCCCAGGACAGTGGGTGGCCACAGGAGTCACTTCTGGTGCCTCTGGCATGGGGACAGCTGGCCCTGAGCACTGCCAGACAGCTCCTGGGTGAACAGGAGGAGAAAGATGGCAATCAACAGACCATGCAGGGCAGGGATAGAGGGTTCATCTGTGCCAGCTCAGGGACCAGGCACAGTAAGGCACCCTTGGGCAGGTTCCCACTGGCTTTCCCCAGGGACTGGAGACACCAGTAATGACAGTCCAGCTCAGCAGTGTGACTGGCCACACTGGGCAATGCTCCGATGCCTGACTGTTGCTCCATGAGGGCACAGCCAGGTTCCTTCCACAATCTGAGCCCCAGAGGTATGGAATAGGTTTCCCCTTACCTGAACACACCACTCCAGCATCAAGGATATGATCACAGTTATGTTCACCCCATCCTCCGTGTGTGCAGTCAGACAGGGCAGATTCGGTGCCATTACAGCCAACATCATCCATCCAAATGGGGCCAGATCCTGCCCAAAGTGTCCGTACTGAGGAGCTCAACAGCAGACCCACAGCCCAGCTGTTACAAACCACTGCTGCATCCTTCATGCTCCAGTAGTGACCACACACGGTCCCCCACTTGCCCTGTTGTTTCACCTCCACTCTCCCAGCACAGCGCCTGCCGCCGTCCGCCAGCCTCACCTCCACAGCACCTTCAAACACTGACACAGGACCAGTCAGGACAGCTCAGCACCCGCACCGCGGGTCTCGGGGAAGCCCTGTGCAGGTGGAGTCAGAGGCACCAGGGTGGGAGCCCCTCCCATCCAGGCTGTCCCCAGGGCAGTTCAGGGGTCCCTTCTATCCTCATGGGCTGTGCAAGGCTGAGGGTTCCCAGCTCCGGCCCTGCTGGGTCATTTGTGGCACCACACAATTTGGCACTTCCTATCACCCCAACGGCCCCTCGCCCTGACCCATGCCCACCTTAGGGCTCCTGCTCCTCCCCAGACAGCACCCTGAAAAGGGGCCTGTCCCCACCAGGGATCCCCCAGGCTCACATGGCTACTCCTCCCCAGAGCCCCCAGCTCCCCTGGACCACAGCCTGCCTTGGGCCCCTCCCAACTCACCCTCTTCCCTCACGACTTTCCGTGTCCCCTGTGGAGCAGAATGATGGTCCCAGTGAGGCCTCCCAACCCATGCCCCTCCTTGTCCTTGGGCATCAGCCCAAACCTGACCTTGTCTGGGATCCCCCCAGGAAGGTCACCCCTTTGCGAGCCTCTGGGAACAGATACCCCAGTTCCCTTGTCTCCACAAGCACAACCCACCCCCGGTCAGGCCGGGATCACCCTGACTCCGGGACAAGAGTGAAGAGCCCACACCCCTTCCTGGGTACCCCGGAGGCTGGCTGTGCCTCTGGGATGACAGAACAAAGAGCCACCAGTTAAGGCACCACCAGCTCACAGGGAACAGAGCTGGCAGAGCCAGGGCCCCAGGGACGGTGCCCAAGGATGGCAAATCCACACCCGGGTACCAACGGCCAGAAACGTGGGAGCCCTGGAAGCAGAAAAGCCCTTCTGCCATGCAGAGAAGCACAGGCTCAGTGAACCTGTTCACTTTCTAGCCCTTGTCACATCGACACATGGGAAGAAGCCCCGTTTCCAGAGGGATCCCTGTGCTGCTCCTTGGCCCCAGGGCTTTGTGGCAGGGCAGCAGGCATTTCCCCCTGCACAACTGCACCCAGAGGAGCAGCTACAGTAACTAAGGGGACAGAGGGACTCTGTCCCATCCTGAACCTTTCGGCAGCCGTGCACCAAATGCAGGAGGATGGAACAGAAGCGAGACATTGGCTTCTGCATCTTTTCCTGCGTAACTGCAGACTGCAGGAGACAACATCACCCCTCCTGTTCTCAGGCCAAGGCCAGCACAGTCCCTGCCCTCCTCCCCTGCCCCTGGCACAGCCCAGGTGTTCAACAGCCCACC